TCATACATCATCCATCCATCCATCCATCCATCTATTAGATGGAGAGAGAACACCCCATTCCCCAGATGTCCACAGTGACCAGGGCTGAGGTCAAAGCTGGGAGCTGGGACATAATCTCCCAGGTTGAGAGGAAGTCCGTTCTTGAGTCATCACCACTGCCTCCCTGGATCTACATTGACAGGAAGCTGGAGTCAAGAACTGAAGCTGGGAATTTGATATAGGATGTGTGCATATTAACCACTAGCCTAAATGTCTGCTCCCTACACTTCCTTTCTCTCCTGTTTGAGAGGCAGGGCAACAGAGATACAGATAGAGAGTTCCTATTTGTTCATTTGTTCCCCAGATACGACAGCTGGGGCTAGGTTAGCCTGAAGCTGGGAGCCAGGCTTCCCATGTGAGTGGCAGGAACCCAGTTATCAGAGTCACCCCCACTGCCTTCCAGGGTCTGCATTAGCAAGAAGCTGGACTCGGGAGCTCTTGCCTAATATTGAACCCAGGTATCCCAGTATGCACCACGGGGCCTTAACTGGCACCTTAACCACTAGGCCAAACGTCTGCCTATGCACATGATTGCTTGCAGTCCTTTGGCCATAACTGGTCATGTGGACCCATCTGTGTTCAAAAGAACTCTTAGACTGCACTTTAAATGTTTTAGGAGCACTGCTGTCTGCTAATCATATTGAATTTTTATGATTTCCCAAATGCATCAATATGTTTATTTCTATGCTTTTTCATATGGTGTTCATCATGCCTACTGTTAAGCCCCCTCCAGCTTCCCCTACTCTTTGTCAACTTACTGATTTTCCAAATTCATTAACTTCTTCTGAGAGCAGCCATTCCACCCAGGTACTGTATTACCATAATGTCCTGTGAATGTCTGTTGAAGTTCTCATGTCCTTGTCTTTCCTCACTAGATTGAATATTTAAGTGTGTCTGTCACCATATTCCTAACCTGTAGCACAGCTTCTAGGTATAAATAGAAAAGTGCCCCGTAAGAAATAAGTGAATGTTCTTTGCTCGCTATGTAACTTTTTTTCTTCTTTAATTTTGTTTTAATGGGTCTTAAAATTCTGTGACAGATTTTTGGTCAAGTTGTTTCCATTATACACCAATTTTTAAAACTTAAAACTGCCTCCCCTTTCACAAAATATTCTCCTTTATCCTACCACAGGTTTTACGATGCATTGTTCTCATTCAGCAGTCTTTTAAACTTAAATGAACAATTGAGACAGACAGTTCTGAGACTGTTCTTCCACCACTGATTAAGACTGGGGTAGCAGGTTTTAACAGATAACATTCATTTAGCCTCCTGAGCTGTCTAGGCAGACTTGGTGACCCTGCCAGCTGCAGCAGCCTTCTTGTCCACTTCTTGTCACACCCACACCCACACCAACTGTTCTGTATCACAAACAGCAAAATCACCCAGAGAAGGATAGTCAACAGAAGCTGTCAACACACTTGGATTGGCCAAGAACCATATCAACGAGGACAGTATCACCAGTTTTTAAGAATTTAGGGCCATATTCCAGCATCTTAACAGAATGACTGTCAGTCTTTTCCTTCAACTCAGCAAACTTGTAAGCTGTGTGAGCTGTGTGACAATCCAGAACAGGGGCATATCCAGCAGTGATTTGACCTGGATGGTTCAGGATGATCACCTGGGCAGTAAAGCCAGTTGCTTCCATTGGTGGGTTGTTGTTGTTGTCACCAGCAGTGTTGCCACAATGAACATCATTGACAGACACTTGACGTTGAAGCCCACACTGTCCCCAGGGAGAGCTTCACTCAAAGCTTCATGGCACATTTCAACAGACTTTGACTTCAGCTGTGACGTTGACTGGAGAAAGGTTTCCACCATGCCAGGTGTGAGACCACCATTGTCCATTCAACCCACAGGAACAGTACCAGTCCCACCAGTTTTGTACACATCTGTAGAGGCAGTCACAAGGACTTGTCAGTTGGAGAAGTCGAGGGTAGGTTTGCAATCCAGGGCTTCCAGGAATGTGGCTCTACTGGCACTGCCGTATGTGCCATGTGGTGACTTTCCATCCCTTGAGCCACGGCTTGTTAGTTAGCACTTGGCTCTAGCAGGTTGTCACCACGATTCCAACCACCGGTTTGTCCATTGGTGAAAAGGTTGTAGTCAATTTTCTTTCTTTTTCTAAAAAGATTTATTTATTAGAGCTGGTGCTGTGGTGTAGAAGGTTAATAAGCCTCCCCCTGCAGTGTCAGCATCCCACATGAGCACCAGTTTGAGTCCCAGCTGCTCCACTTTCAACCCAGCTCCCCGCTAATGTGCCTGGGAAAGCAGCAGAAGATGACCCAGGTGCTTGGGCCCCTGCACCAATGTGGGAGACCTGGAGGAAGCTCCTCGCATTGGCCTGGCTCAGCCCTGGCCATTGTGTCTATTTGGGGAGTGAACCAGTGTATGAAAGATTGCTGTCACTCTCACTCCTGCGCTTTCTTTTCTCTGTCCCTTCACTCTCCTTCCCTCTGTAATTCTGCCTCTCAAATAAGTTTTTGTTTTTTTAAAAAAGATTTATTTGAAAGGCAGAGTTACAAAAAAAAAAAAGGTGAGAAATCTTTCACCTGCTGATTCACTCCCTAAATGACAGTGGTGGCCAGGGCTATGCCATGGTGAAGCCTGGAATTTCATCAGGGTCTCCCACAGGGATGCAGAGGCCCAAGCACATGGACCATCCTCTGCTGCTTTCCCAGGCTATAGCAGGGAGCTGGATCAGAAGCAGAGCAGCTAGGACTTGAACCTGCGCCTATATGGGATGCCAGGGTGCCATCCTCCTGCCAGTTTTTAATGTAGGTGCTGGTTTCCTCACTTCTGTTCTGGCTGTAGGGTGGCACAGTGGAATCCATTTTATTTATTTGAAAGAGTTACGGGGTGGGGGGGGGGGGTAGGGGTGTCTTACATCCATCGGTTCAGTCCCCAAATGGCCACAATGGCTGGAGCTGCATTGATCAGAAGCCAGGAGCTTCTTCCAGGTCTCCCATGTGGGTGCAGGGGCCCAAGGACTTGGGCCATCTTCCACTGCTTTCCCAGGCCATAGCAGAGATCTGGATCAGAAGTAGAACAGCTAGGTCTTGAACTGGCGCCCACGTCAGATGCTTACTGCTACGCCACAGTGCCAGCCCTGGAATCCATTTTGTTAACACTGAAAGTTAGTTGCTTCAGATCCAGTGTGTAAGCCAGAAGGACATGCTCAGAGGTCTCCACGTTCTTGTAGATGCCCTCTTCAAATTCAGCAACGCCAGTAGCAGCCATCAAGACAGCATAGTCGGCCTCAGATGTGCTTGGACTCCTGTGTTTGATGAAGGCTCTGTGTCCTGGGGCATCAGTGATTTGTAATACTTGCGGGTCTCAGACTTCCACAGGGAGATGCTGATGATGATACCACACTCACATTCCGCTGTCCATTTATCCAGGACCCAGGCCTTCTTGAAGGGGCCCTTTCCCAGCTCAGCAGCCGCCTCAAATTTCTCAGTGACTCTGTCGATGCTGCCACACACCACACTGCCCGATCCACATGTCCAGTGACAATGGTGTTGATATGAATCTTTTCCTTTGATTGGCAGTGGTTTTCACAACGTTTGTCCTGGTGGCAAGCCTGTTGGTGAAAAAGCTGGTTATGTAATTTTATGAACAAAATACTTAGTCATCCTCTTAGATGCATTCAGTTTCTCTTTTATTTCTTTCTTTTAAAGAAATAACTATCTCCAGAGTATTTCCTGGCTTTCTTTCTCCTTGATTGGCAACAGTACTTTTAAATTAGTGTTGTAGAAAGACATTAGAAGCATTGTCTGGTGTATTTTTAATTTTTTCCTTTAACTGACATATTGTAAGGTGTTTTGTCTGACACCAACTATTTCTCCAACATCAGTGCTTGGTATCCATCATTGAGTTCAGTTCTGATACTGTCTACCTTGAGTTAGTGTCAGATACAGGCACCACAGTTAAAGAACTCGGGTTCCCAAGCCTGTTGTACCTGAGCTACCAGGTAGAAGTTGTTGGCCACCTGTACTTCTGACTAGCCAGTTATGATTGCAGGTTCCCATGGGATCCTCTTCCCTTACTTTAAAATTTTTATCAGAGGTGGGCATTTAGCCTACTGGTTGTTTCCCTTGTCCCACATCAGTGTACCTGGGTTCAAGTCCTGGCTCTGGCTATAGCTTTCTGCTAATGCAGACCCTGGGAAGGAGCTCTGATGGCTCAAGGAACTGGGTTCCTGCTGCCCACATGGGGGATCTGGACTGAGTGCCTGCTCCAGGCCTTACCCTAGGGCATTTGAGGAATGAACCAGCAGGTGGGAAATTTCTCTCTCTCTCTCTCAACTGTAATAAAAAGTTATCTTTCTAGAATAGCTTACAGAACTCAAAACACATTTTTCAAGTTTACCTGTTTATTACAAAGGGTACAATTCAGAGGCAGACAAAGGCTGTGAAGAATTAACAGAACAAGATATATGGAGGCTAGTGGGTGGATGCAAAACTTCCAAGCCCTCCAGCCTACCCTCCTCCTGACCCCTCGACGTGTTCTTATCCAAGATACTCTCTGAATGGCATTGTTCATGAGTTTGAATAGAACTCAATTTCTAGCTTTTTCCCTTTTCTGTTGCTGGAGTTCCATGTGTAGAGCTGAAAATTCCAGCTTTCCAGAACGAGGTCTTTCTGATGACCAGTGCTGTCCTGAGGCTCTCCAGGGGCTCGGCCTTCAGTCACTTCAATAATAATGATCAAAAGGGACCTGTAACAAAAGATGCTTTATCATTCAGGAAATTCCAAGGGATTTAGGAACTCTGTCAGGAACCCAGAGGAAAGACCACTTATTTTTGTGTTCTACACATACAAAAATCTATTTAGTTGGTTTTATTGCTTAAAAAATTAAAGCATAAATTTTTGCTAATTTCAATTATAGAAATTTATGTATTCATAAGAAATTCTGTTTTTGATTTAAAATGGTTTCTTGTAATGTGCTGTTAACTCACAATAGTTTTGCATCTTCATACTTTTTTGCAGTTATTAAAAATTTCTGACTTTGATTTATGTGTCCCTTCCCCCATCCCACCCCCCATTTTCTTAGGTGGCCTCGGAGGACTTGCAGGTCTGAGTAGCTTAGGTTTGAATACCACCAACTTCTCTGAACTGCAGAGTCAGATGCAGCGCCAACTTCTGTCCAACCCAGAGATGATGGTCCAGATCATGGAGAATCCCTTCGTCCAGAGCATGCTTTCAAACCCTGACCTGATGAGGCAGCTAATCATGGCCAACCCACAGATGCAGCAGTTGATACAGAGAAACCCGGAGATTAGCCATATGCTGAATAATCCAGACATAATGAGACAAGTATGTGGGAACTTACTATTGCTGATGTGTTTCTTAATGCTCTCTAGTTAAAAGAGATTGCCTTGTATTGCTGTTAGGCTAAATCCTGGTCTGTGTTTAGGAAAATTTCACAAAGCAGTAATGTGGGCTATATGAACTCTGAATTTTCTGCTACATTTGACAGATTTTAGTGAACAGTTCATTGTGATTGTTCACTTACAACAAGGCGCTTTTGTTACTGGTTGCTTGCTGCTGATGGCATACCAGAGGTAAGGGCTGATGGAAGGAAGCATTTATTTCCGGAAGCTGGCATTCTTGGGGCAGGTGGCCTTCTTCAGTCCCAGGTGTGCTCTGGCCAAGTTGCAGGGCACATCGAAGGCTGAAGGATAATTGGGAGGCTAGGAAGGATAAGGAAAGATCATGGTGGGTGCATAGGCAGGTTTCTAGGCTAGTTTCGGACCCCAGCCAGGTGGAGGTTTCTTTGACACAAACCTTGGCTGTCTGGGTGGTGGTTATGCATTCCTTCCTTACCTGCGCTCTGCCGTTCTGGCCACTTTCCCGCAGTTGGCTCCTGAAGTTCTTGGGTAGGCGTTATTCAGCTGTTGGCCGACTGTTCTCATTACAAGATCAGCAGCTTTTACTGGTTAAAATGTGAAAAGGGAAGGGAAGATGTATTCATTATGGTTTTACCTCCTTTTTAAAAGTATTAAAGATTTGTTTGTTTATTTGAAAGGCAGAATGAGAGAGAGGAAGAGATCTTCCATCTGGTGGTTCACTCTCTAAGTGGCCACAGTAGCCAGGGTTGGGCCAGGGTGGAGTCAGGAGCCAGAATCTCCATGCAAGTTTCCCACCTGGGTGCCAGGGACCCAAGTTCTTAGACAGTTATGCTTTTCCAGAAGCGTTAGCAGGAAGCTAGAGTTGGAATCACAAAAGCTAGGCCTCTAACCAGCTCTCTGAAATAGAAAGCTGGCATTGCAAATGGCAGGTCAATACACGGTGCCACAGTGCCAGCCCTCCCCCTTTGTTTTTCTTTTGTATTATATTTGTTTCCATCTACTTCAAAGGCAGAGTGACAGAACAAGAGAGGAATCTTCCATGCTGTGCTTCACTTCCCAAATGTCTACAATAACCGGGCCTGGGCCAGCTGAAACCAGGAGCCTGGAACTCTGTCCAGATATCCCATGCAGCTGGCAGGGGCCCAAGCCCTTGAACCAGCATCTGCTACTTCCCAGGATAGATGGGAAATGGAGAAGCTGGGCCTGGAACCGCCACTCTAATAAGGGGTGTGCGCATCCCAAGTGGTGGCTTAACTCACTGTGCCACATGTTGCTTCATTTCTTTTTAAATTTTTGCATTTTTAAAAGATATATCTATTGAAACACAGAGTGGGAAGAGAGAGAGAGAGAAAGAGAGATATCTTCCATCTGCATGTTCACTTCCCAAATGCCTACAGCAGGTGGCTGGTGCCAGGCCAAAGCCAGGAGCCTCGAACTCCATCTGGGTGTCCCACATGGATGACAGGGACCCACGTACATAGTCTGTCATCTCCTGCCTTCCAGAGTGAATTAGGAGGAAGCTGGATCAGAAGTCTTGTTGCTTGGACTCAGACCATTGCTCTGATACAGGATATGTGTCCCTGCTGTGCTACAAGGCTCATTGAATGTTAACTTGCCTTTCTCTTTTTTAAAGATTTTTTTTTTTTTTTAATTTGAAAGGCAGAGTTAGAGCTTTCATTCACTAGTTCACTCTCCAAATGGCTGCAATGGGCTTGAGCTGGGCCATTCTGAAGCCAGGAGCCAGTAGCTCCATCCAGGTCTCCCATATGGGTGGCAGAGGCCCAAGCACTTGGGGCTGTTTTCTGCTAATTTCTCAGGTGTATTAGCAAGGAGCTGGATCATAAGTGGAGCAGCAGAGAATTGAACTGGCACCCATATGGGATGCTGGTGTCTGAAATGGCAGCTTAACCCAATACGTCACAGTGCCAGACTCTTAACTTGCTTTTTGAGGTGAAATCCACCAGGAATTATTTTAGATAATTTTCTGGTTTAAAATTTTTTAATGATTTTTTAAATTTATTTAGAGTTACAGAAAGAGAGAGATCTTCCATCTGTTGGTTCACTCCCCACATGGCTGCAACAGCAAGGACTGAGCAAGGCCAAAGCCAGGAGCCAGGAGCTTCTTCTGGGTCTCCCACATGGGTGCAGGGGCCCAAGCACGTGGGCCCTCCTCCACTGCTTTCCCAGGCACATTAGTAGGGAACTGGATCAGAAGACAAGCAGCCAGGACTCGAATGGGGCGCCCATATGCTGGCACTGCAGGCTAGGGTTCTACCCACTATGCCAGTCTCATTCCCTTTCTGATTTTACAGACAAGATTATAAGAAATTTGGTTTAAAACTCTTAATTAGCTTTTATTTGTGATTCTAGAATCAGATGACATCTGTTCTTATGAGCTGAGCAAAGATAGTTAGCCTCATAGGTAGCAAATGCTGAAGAAGCAGAAACTGTTTTGTTAGAGAAAATTGGTTGGTTGTTCCAAAGTTACTTTCTTACAGGGTCTTTACTATATATTAGTTTTTCCTACTGTAGAAATTCACATAAATTACACAGTCTGTGCTGTCTTTTTTTCTTTCACTCTGTGTTTTTTAAATTCATCTGTGTTGTTGTGTATGTCTCTAGTTTGTTTCTTATTGTGCTGGCTCAGATTGATTAGAATCTCGTGTTTCTTGTTTGTCTTTAAACTAACACTTTTCATGCACCAGGTTGTTTATCTGGTGTTAAGCACAGTGACTCCGTTCTGCTGTGGTCAGATTTGGGACCTAGTGCAACAGACTAGAGCAAATAACGGCCTCCCCCAAACTTCATTTAACGTTAGTTAATAGCTGAAGTAACTTACATGTATTTGAATGCCTTTTTTTCCTTTTTCTTTTTTAGACACTGGAACTTGCCAGGAATCCAGCAATGATGCAGGAGATGATGAGAAACCAGGATCGAGCCTTGAGCAACTTAGAGAGTATTCCAGGGGGTTACAATGCTCTACGTCGCATGTACACGGATATTCAGGAGCCGATGCTGAGTGCTGCACAAGAGCAGGTGATCACTGACTCCAGGCCTCGGGTGTCACTCCTGTTGTAACACACGTGTGTGACTGAGGGCTGTGTTCATGGGGGGATGTGGTTTCCATTCAGCAGAAAGGAGCTGTGCAACAAAACCTTACTCTTTATGACTTTTGTGTCTGTCTTTTGCAGTTTGGTGGTAATCCATTTGCTTCCTTGGTGAGCAATACATCCTCAGGTGAAGGTAGTCAACCTTCTCGTACAGAAAATAGAGATCCATTACCCAATCCGTGGGCTCCACAGGCTTCCCAGAATTCATCAGCTTCAAGCGGCACCACCAGTGCTGTGGGTGGCACTGCTAGTAATGCTGCCAGTGGCACTGCTGGGCAGAGTACTACTGCGCCAAATTTGGTACCAGGAGTAGGAGGTAGGCTTCTAATAACTCACTATTTTATTTGTTGTAGGAATGCTTTTTATATGAATACAGAAAACATTGTTGATACTGTTTTTCTCTGTGTATGGTGACTACTTTTTGTGTTACCAGTTTTGCTTTTCATTTTTGATGGTTTTATTTGCCTCCGTAAAAGGAGTTTTCAAAATTGTATATACATATCGGGTACAACATTATGCTTGGATACATGTGTACATTATGGAATGATTAGATCACTTCATTGACATATTTATCACTTCACATGCTTCAGCCATTTTTGTGTGTGTGATGAGAAAATTAAAATCTACTGTTTTAACAGTTTTCAATTATATAGCATATACTTCTCCAGAACTTATTCATGGAAGGTTTTCTTTTGCTAAATTTGAGAGGCAGAGGGACAGAGAACTGTCATCTGGTGGTTCACTCCCCAGATGCCTTCAGTGTCTGGAGCTGGACCAGACTGAAGCCAGGAGCTGGCCACTAAATCTAGGTCTCCTGTGTGGGTGTCAGGGACACAACTACTTGTGCAGGCCCTCCAGTGTGGCATGTGGGCATTTAACTGACATCTTCATAGCTGGGCCAAATGCCCGCACCTGTAGGAGGATTTTAAGTAAGGAATAATGAAAAATTTTAAAGTAATAATGGGATTACCCTGGTTACCATTTGCAGAACATATTGGGGAAAGCCAAAATGATTAAATGGAACTTGATTATGAGGTCATTCAGGTAACCTAGGGCATATAAAATGATAGCTGAGGATGTGACCAAAAAATAGGAAGCAGAAAGACAGGCCAACCATTCACTTACTGACAAAGACCTAGAGAAGATAGATAATTATCCTTATTAGACTGTTATTTATTTATTTTATATTAAGGTATAGTTTTTGTAAAGTACATATTTTACATGTACGTTGTTAGATATTTTGGTGAATTTATACACCTAGCTAATTGCCATCCTAATTGAGACATGAAACATTTCTATCATCCCAATAAATTGTTTTTTGCTTCTTTCCAGCTGATTCTTTCTACCATGAAAACTGCTCCACTCTGTTAGCTTTTCCTAGTCTAGAAATTCACATAAATGGATTATACAGTCTGTGTTCTGTGTCTTTTTCTTTCACTCAGCGTTTTTGAAATTGATCTGTGTTGTTGTGTATGTCTCTAGACTGTTTCTTACTGCTAAAAAGTAGTCCCTTGTATGGGAATCACTACAAATCATTACACTACATATGACCTCTTATGTCTAGCATTTCATTACTTTGTAAAGATAAAAAACCAACAGAATTAGAACTGAAGCCTGGAGAACAAACTTGAGATTCCAAAGTGGGATAGAAATAGCATAAGGTAGAAATTTTGCAGTCATCAAAGTAGATTATTTTGTGGCTTACACAATTGTCTTTGGGGACCTAACTGTAATGGGTCATACAGTGAGTAGCAATGAAGGTGCCAAGTACGGAATGGATACCATTAAGGGTCTAGGTGGTATGTCCATATTTGTCTGGGAAGGACTGGTTTTCTCGAGCCACCCTCAGGTAATTGCTGTTGTTGGGCTTCTTGTTTTTACTGAATATTCTTGTATTGTACTTCCTTGAGTTTCACTCTGATTCCTGAACCAAACCTGCAGCATTGTTCAGTTGTGTCTGATTTTTGAAAAAAGATTTATTTATTTTAAAGTCAGAGTTACATACAGAGAGGGAGAGACAGATCTTCTATCCACTGGTTAATTTCGCAGATGGCCACAGTGGCCAGGGTTGCCCCAGGCCAAAGCCGTGAGCCAGGAATCTGGGTCTCCCACACAGGACTTGGTCATTTTTTGCTGCTTTTCCCAGGCTGTTAGCAAGGAGCTGGATGGAAAGTGAAGCAGCTGGGGTACAGTTTAGTGCCCGTATGGGATGCTGGCATCACAAGTGGCAGCTTTACCTGCTGTGCCACAGCACTGGACCTGATTATGTCCATTTTTGAGGCCATTTGTTTCTCATTTATTTATAGGGATTCCATCTACTAGTTCACTCTCCAAATACCTACAGTGGACCAGGTCCAGGCTGGGGCCCAAAGACTGGAGCCAGGAACGCAATCCAGGTCTTCTGTGTAAGCAACAGGAACCCAACCACTTGAGCCACTACTCTTGCCTCCCAGGGTCCGCATAAGCAGGAACCTGAGCCAGGAACCAGAGCTAGGCACTGAACTCAGGCCCCTCAGTGTGGGACGTAGGCATCTTGAGTGAAACACTTGTACCTGCATTTCTTAAAAGTTTATTTTTAAAAATGGCTTCTCAAACCTTTATTATTAATTAATTAATTTTTATTTGAAAACCAGGGTGAGAGATCCTGTATCCACTGGTTTACTCACAGCTGGACCAGGCCAAAGCCATGAGCCTAGAACTCAGTCTGGGTCTCCTATGTGGGTGGCAGGAACTCAGGTATTTGAGTTGTCATCTGTTACCTCTCAGGGTGCCATTAGCAGGAAGCTGAATTGCAAGTGGAACTCTGACTTGAATTCTGACATGGACATGGGCATCCTAACTACAGCAGCAAACGCCAGACCACCTACCTGCCTGCCCCTGTTAAGGAACTTTAAATATGATGATTATGTTTGTATGTTTGGCTGAAGCTTTCCAAAGTCAAGTTTGTCTTGAAATGGCTTGGTAGTCTCATATAACAGTAGGGGAACACAGTCTCCTGTAGAACTAGGGTACATGTTTCTTGGAATTAGTCTGGTTTTAAATTCTGTGTCAGTGGACTCTCAAACACCAGTCCTGAGGCCAGGGTAAACCAGCTGCAGCACGGTGCTTGCCAGGATTGTTAAAAATTGGGTTTGCAGGTCTTAACCTTATGGGGGAGACTTTTCACAGTGTCCTTTAAGGTCTATCTTTATATAAAGCTCCGGCAGATTGTAATAGGTGAAGGGGTTAAGATTTTACTTTTGTCCACTTTTCTGCAGATGAAGCTAGAAGAATGGATGCCCTTTGGTCAACTATTCAGATACTGTTTACTGATGTTTTTTCAGTGAATCATATCCAAGATCATTAGCCAGAGTGACATTTGAGTCCTCATATTTGGCATGTAAATAGGAAGAAATGGAGGCATGGCAGCACTTCCCAGGCATGAGAAAGCCTAGGTAGATTTTAAAAGATCCTTTTGTCTAGGCAGAAAAAGTGAAAGATTCTGAATGAGGAGTTTTGAAAAATTCATTGCTGAGAGAAGACAGTGTGTGCAGAATAAATCACAGGTCACAATGAGACATTTTCTTTTGTACAACAGTGGATATCTGGGTTCTGGATATATATAATACAGGTTTTATACAAATTGCAGTAGGAACTGGTGCCGTGGTGCAGTGGTTTGATCCTCTACCTACAGCGCCGGCATCCCATGGGCGCCGATTCTGGTCCTGGCTGCTACTCTTCCAGTCCAGCTCTCTGCCTTGGCCTGGGAAGGCACTGGAGGATGGCCCAAGTCCTTGGGCCCCTGAGCCCACATGGGAAACCTGGAGGAAGCACCTGGCTCCTGGCTTCGTATCAGTGCGGCTCCAGCCGTTGCAGCCATTTAGGGAGTGAAATAATGGACAGAGGACCTTTGTCTCTGTCTCTCCCTCTCACTGTCTATAACTCTACCTCTCAAATGAATAAATGGAATCTTTTTTTAAAAAATTGAAGTAATATTTTTAATCAAGAAACAAATCCTATTTATTCTTTTTATTTTATTTTTTTATTTGTTTATTTTGACAGGCAGAGTGGACAGAGAGAGAGACAGAGAGAAAGGTCTTCCTTCCGTTGGTTCACCCCCCAAATGGTCGCTACAGCCGGCGCGCTGTGCTGATCTGAAGCCAGGAGCCAGGTGCTTCTCCTGGTCTCCCAAGCAGGTGCAGGCCCAAACACTTGGGCCATCCTCCACTGCGCTCCCGGACCACAGCAGAGAGCTGGCCTGGAAGAGGGGCAACCGGGAAAGAATCTGGCGCCCCGACCGGGACTAGAATCCGGGATGCCGGCGCCACTAGGTGGAGGATTAGCCTATTGAGCCGCAGCGCCGGCTCAACAATCTTTTAAGAAGATGTTTTGTTCCTGCTTTAAAGGTTATAGAAAGGAGAGAGCAAAGATTTGATCAGATTTCTTGACTGGTGGGCTATTGATTTTTTTCATTTTGATTAATTTGTTTTTATTTATTTAAAAAGCAGAGAGATATATGCACACCTAGAGACAGACAGCTGAGGTTGGGTCAGTCCAGGACTCTACTTGAGCCATCACCTGCTGCCTCCCAGTGTGTGTGTTAGCAGCAAGCTGCATTGGGAGCAGAGCTGGAACCTGAACTCTGGCTCTGTGATAGGGGATGCCAGCATCCAAGTAATGTTTTAACTACTGCACCAAATGCCTGCTCTGGGTTTTTTTTAAATAGTATGGTTGTCCATAGTAATCACTTTCATTTAAAAGACAAAAAATCAGTTTCATAACTTTGTACTCAGATTTTTAAATTTAATAGCTTAATACTGTAACATTTCATAGTAATATTTCATTTATTTATTTTTTAAAATTTTTTGACAGGCAGAGTGGACAGTGAGAGAGAGAGACAGAGAGAAAGATCTTCCTTTGCTGTTGGTTCACCCTCCAATGGCCGCCGCGGCCGACGCACTGCACTGATCCGATGGCAGGAACCAGGTACTTATCCTGGTCTCCCATGCGGGTGCAGGGCCCAAGCACTTGGGCCATCCTCCACTGCACTCCCTGGCCACAGCAGAGAGCTGGCCTGGAAGAGGGGCAACCAGGACAGAATCCGGCGCCCCGACCGGGACTAGAACCCGGTGTGCCGGCGCTGCAAGGCGGAGGATTAGCCTAGTGAGCCGCGGCGCCGGCTAGTAATATTTCAATCAAAGGAAAACAAAATAGCAAAATGAACTTCACTGGCCTATCAAATTGTTAGCATATTTGTATACTATTGTGATTCATATTCAGCTCAGAATTTGATGCAAATATTTATACATACACATACGAAGATGAAATTCGTCAATT